TAATAAATTCGAGCCCACTGAATTCACAGTGTTTTCTTAAGGAATTTAATCCCCTCCTAGTACCCAAGGTAATGGATTATTTCCTCCCAGGATAGAACGAATCACACACTGGTGTAGCGGTACTTCAAACCCCAGTGTTTAAGCGAACACAAAGTTCGGTAGCAAATCACACTTACAGTTGCTTTGTTTGAAGTTAAAAAACAATGCAGAACGAGGGAGTAGAAACTCAGAAAATCATATGGAAATACTGAGAGGAAGGAATGCAATGTATAGCCAAATCTGTTGAGCGATTTCAGTTTGTGTCTTATGTGTTGTGTTGTTGAGTGTCTTTCTTCAACATCTGCTGCACATATATATAGCAGCCAGTGTTGAAGAAGACCAAACGTCCACCCTCCATGGTGGAGCAAGCATTAGCTTGTTTGTAGAGCAAGTACATATTCATGTTTGTCCATTCCCGGATAAATTTGGTCCCGGATAATCTTGCGTTAATATTTACTATTAACAAATAAATCTCGAAGCCGAAGCCGAAGCCGAAGCCGAGCGAGCGACGACGACGGCGCGAGACTTGCTTTCTTCTTAACTCTTTAAGAGCTACAAGAAGAGCAATTATATATATACCCACCAAAAATCTCTTCCTCTTCCAATATGGGACAATGTCTCATTGTCAAGAGGGGGAAACTTAAAATTTTACTCAAAAATTTCATTTTCCCTCCATTTCCCATTCACCCTCATTTTAAGACTATTTCATCTTAAAAATTAAAACCTCAACAATGATCATGTAAGTAACTAAAAAACAGTAATTTTGAGAGACGTAAACATGTAATTATTGATATACAGAGTGCAAATTCTAGCAAAACATATTTCAAAACTTCAACTGGCACATACATTCTTCACTACAGGTACAAAGATCCATAAATCTAAGCTGAAACTTTTCAGTCAACTATATATTATTGGTTGAATCTGGATCAGCTCACATGTAGTATAAACTACTACAGAGATCTTACCTAAGAGAATACCAGCTAAATATATCGGCTAGAGAAACTACATTGCTATCACATCCAACTTGAAGGCCAATAAGCATGAATACCGTAGCCAGTCTTCCAATTATCCAAGTAAATCACCTTCTTTACAGCCCAAAACGAAACGATGAGCCCTAAAGCCATCAACAACCTTTGTGCTCCCCTGTCCTTCACACAAACCAAAACATGAGTCATAAATGCCAACAACAATCCAACAACTATGTACAAGAATCCAACAGCAAAACCTTCAGTCCCTAACTGCATCCCAGATGCTTGGTAAAAGAAAATCATCTTCCCTGCATCATTCCTATCCTCCAAATACATCGGCACTTTCCTAATTATACTATGCATTGTCCCTGAAACACTAAAAAAGTACACGAAAATCGACCCGGTCATCCACATATACTTATCATGCAAAAGGGTGTCTCCAGAAACAATCTTTTTCACCAAAAATGGACTCCAAATCAAGAATACACCACCAATAGCAGCCATCATTTTCTTGGAAATAGCTGGGGGTCGATGAATGGGACCCACATTAACCTCCACATTCGCCTCTACAAACTCCTTCATCGACTCAGCTCCCCTTGAATAACCGGAAGCATCCATTGGAACACTATCCCTTTTCAAATCCGTTAAAAAAAAGGGTAATAACCGAATATGGGGTAAAGACTTGAGTTCAAACAAGGCGAAAGAAGATTGAGATTCTTGAAACTCAATGACAAAGAAGAAGATGTGAGTGTTGTTGCTGTTTTTGGGGTGGTTGACGAGGAAAGAAGAGGAGAGAAGGGAGAATTCACGTTTGAAAGCAGGGAGATTGATGTCGGATTTCGAGTGGAGCTGTTTGGCGTCAAAGAAAATAAGGGAAGAGAAAGGTTTAGGGGAAGGGATAGAGAGGATGCGTTGGAGAAGGGAGTCATTGAGGTGGATGACGCCGGTGGGTGATTGTGATCGGAGGTTGATCAGTTCGGAGAGTAAGGCATCGGAGGTATTGGAATGAGTGTATATGGGTGTAAGGAGGAAGAGGAGGGTGATGAGTAAAAGAGATGATGGAGATGGAGAAATTGCCATTGTTAGATTGATAAGAAAATTTTGAAGGGTTTCATGCATGCAGAAAAAGCAGAAATGTTGTCGAGAATGTATTTGTGTTGGAAGGGCAAGATATGGGTAGTTTGATTTCGGGTCGGGTCTTATTGACTGAGCAAGATTTTTATGTGGATACACAGATTACAGACACGCAAGAATACTTGAATGGTAAGATTGGAAGTTCCACGAACTATACGAAATTGTACGGTGGAAGTTGTTATTCAAATTGCAATCCTAGCCTAGCTACTACACTGCAAAATGTATTTGGGTTTTGGATTTTTTCTTTTTAATTTAATCAGATTATTAAGACATCAAAATATCTATTTTTAGTGAATTCAAACATAATTATTTATTTTTAATTTCAATACTTCTATGAAAATACGTATTAATTGTTAATTTGTAAAATCATCTCAAGCACTTAAACATTGTCTTTCAGCACTTGGTGTTAAAAGATACTATTGTTCAGCTAAGCTAAACGGAGTCTATTCCTATTTAGTTGAAAAAGAATAAAATCTTGTAACTAAGGAGGGAAATGTTAGAATCAATGAAGAGGAAAAAGCATACATGCAGTTGCGGACGGGCAATCTCTATTCATAAGCTTGATCAAACCTTATTTCTAATATATAAAATGTCAAAAACTTCAGCTACAATATTCTTCTTTGATCGTAGGGCTGTTTTTGCGCTAACATCTAACCTTTTGTAAATCTATGGTGACCGGAACTGGTAAAGAGTCTGAAAACAAACATCAATTGCTGAAGAAAAATATATGAAAGCAACAAAACACTTCAAGAAACAGTACAAATAAATACCAACATAATATCCCAAATATTAATAGTAATCAATTAAAATATAAGCTGCAGCACTACAAGTCTACAATTAGGCAACTCTACTAATTTCAGCTGCAAAAGGTAGCTCTTCCTACAAGATCAAGGAAATGTTCATTTAGCATAAATTGGATCCACAGCACTTCAGAAATTTTGGCACAAGAAGTATATAGTGCTGATCTCCTGGTGCAGTAGTAATATGTCAAATCAAGCAGCAGAATTTGGATCATAAATTGGACTAGCAAAGCATTAGCTGTCTGTTTGAATCATCATCTTCTCCCATGGCAAAAAAACGCTGGTACAGTGACTTTCTTCAATTTAAGGCAAGTACTATATAAGCAAATTGCATGATCCTTTACGGATTTATGTTCAAACTGTTTGCTGATTCCGTAGAATAAAAAACTATTGACGAAGTCAAGATGCCTCACTTGCTGCATTTCCATATTTATCTTGCAATGATTAAACCCCCAAGAAAATGGCAGTTCACAAAGGCTGTACATTTCAAAGTCAAGATGCTGCTAGTTGAAAGTTACACTTCAGAAAGCACAATATATAAAACAAGTATTTTATGTCATTCATAAAATCATCAGAGTTGTTAGACCCACATATATGATACTTACGCATTTTTAAGTCTGTAAAACTGAAATGAGTGGAAACTTCGGACAAGATGTAGGAATTTGGAACATAACAAAGCGAAGAAATGGAAGTTGGAGAGATATCTTGCTCCTAAAAACCATGTCCAACTGCCATCACATTGCAAAAGAGATGTAGATCATATTTCGCACCTTCTGGAATTTATAGAGGCACAAATTTTCACCAAGTAGAAGCATCTGCTTTTACATTTACTAAGCAAACGCATGTACAAGTGTCACGACCCAAGTCCATGGCACATATTATCCAATTTAGCCCAACAGACCTCATAGATTTTCCCCTTGGGCTATCTATCATCGAGCCCAAAAGCATGCGTACCATGTGAAGTTGTGTTGTGCCTTATGGAGCTCTTCATTTTCCTCTCCCATTTCGATTTGGGATTCGCCTAAGGTGACATGTGCACTCCCTTCAGAAGCTTGTCAGTCATGCTTGACCCGCCCTCCGACATGGGCGTCACAACAAGGCATTGATGCTCCTGCTTTTGGTTTTAACACCAAGTGATTGCTTTGGAAACTCCTTATAACCAAAACTAGACTACAACTGCCAATTAGATCATCCAAGTTACCGCTTGCCACCTCCTTGGTGCTCTTTATTTTCCCCTAGAGAACCCTTGGCTACCTCTTTCTCGGGTAAGTCTGATCACAGGGATCTCAAATAATCTTCTAGGAAAAAACCATATAAAAGAAGCAGGAGTAAAATTTGAAACTGAAGCACTTCTCTACATCACTATCAGCACTAATTACGCCACTAAGGGTCCATCTTCTAGCTTATGTTTGATGTTTGCACTGCGTTGGGAAGAACTTTGAGTGTGAGTCCTCACCATTTTTCTGCCTGTAATACCTTCATCCCTAATCAGCACTAGGGGAGATTCCCTATGATCACCCATATCAGCAGTGGTGTTCAATGTTGAGACTTGAGATTACCCTTGATAAATTTCCATTAATACTATAACGACTTCAGACCACATATCATTAACTGTTATGACGCTCGCAACTTAAATACTATATCAATGAAGAAGAGATGAATATAAGTGGATATATTAAACAGCAAAAAGAAACTGTGAGTTCCACTTAATATATGTTTATAATAACTTAAAACATAGAAGAGTAAAGAGGCAAGGCTGACATCTCATTTCAGTTAAAATTACATAATGAATGTGGTAAGCTATAATGATGAAAATCAAGCCAGAGAGGGGGACAGGGTGGTAACAAGAGTGCAGCATATGCAAGTCTTAGTTATTTCTCCTGATTGAGGACATGCAGGTTTGTCCTAAAGGCTTGCAAGTGCAGAAGTTCATTATGCATATTGTATCATCTCATTGAGTTGCAACTTATTTACTAAATACCTCCAGATACATACAAAATTGCACTTACGACTCTGTTTTCCCATGATGATAGAAGCCTTAGGAAAATCCAACAATAATTAGAGACAAAAATGGATTTAGTTTTAACCATAAGTGCCAGATTTTCCTATTATATAGAAGAGCGAAGTAGAGGTCGACCAAGGGTAGAATAGTAATTTAGACGTCTCTATTAAAATGGTGCTTTTTGTCCTTTTGTCTTTCTCATTCTAAAATTCAGACGCAAGGCTGCTCTTCTCATTTCATACTACTCTTTCACTTCTCTTCATCTTCTCAGCTAGCTATCGCTATTTCAGGTATGCTTTTCTTTAATTTTTTCCCAAATCTTCTTCAAGCTCTCTTCAGATTTTCCAATGTCATAGGCTCAAAGCTAAAATCCATGCCTGTTGTTGCTATGGTTCTGCCCAAACTCTCTCTTCAATGTTCTTTGTCCTTCACTTTATTCATTTCAAAGATTACTCATTCAGTTCTTTTCGTCTTCTCGGTTGGGTATTACAATTAATTTCGGTTCTGATTTTGTTTCAATTTTTGTCCAATTCTCTTCGCACTTTCCAATTCTTTTCCCGCTTTCTGCTCTACTTTGGGAAGTTATTACGAATTCTCAAGTTGGTAACTTGTTAAATCTGTCATCAGCTAGAAAAGTCTTGCATTTTTTCAAATTTCAAGATACTAGATATTTTGCTATACATCTTAATGTCAAGAGAGACTAAAATGGATTTTCACACTTTTGAGCATAATCCTCTTCTGCTACTTGAAACCATGGTACAGCTCCTCACTTTTTCAGTTTTTGTTTCTTATTCAGGTGTATTCTATGCTTTGGATATTTATGCTTCTACAACTGTGAAAGAATTCCCTAACAAAAATTCAACTTTGGATTCTTGATTTGGCTACAAAAATTAATCATGTAATTCAAGTCTCAATCTTTAGAAACATATTCAGGGAATAGAAAAGTTGCAGATATGTTGAATATGAATCATAACAACGATGAGACCTTTGAAAAAATACTTGTTGACAAATTAAAAGTATTAAGAGATGTGAATTACATAAACTAAATTGACTGCACATTAAGATTCTTGAAGCTCAAAAAAAAATTACCACTTTATTGTTTTCAAGATACGTCATCATCCGTTTCTTTCAAAGATCATCTTCCTTGACAGCTGAAAATCTGCGAAAGAGAGGAATTACACTTGTTAGTTGGTGCTACATGTGTAAAAGCTCAGGGGAAGAAGTTGATCATCTTATGCTGCATTGCCTTGTGTCCTGGGGTTTGTGAAGGGCAATCTTGAATCTTTTTCGTGTTCAATGGGTGATGCCAAACACTGTAAAGGAAATACTATATAGCTGGGCCAGTTTCCGTAGAAGAAGCAAGTAAAAGGCGTGGAAGTTTGCCCCGTTAGCTCTCATGTGGATAGTCTGGGGAGAAAAAAAATAAGAGAGTTTTTGAGGGGATTTAATCTCCGTTTTCACATCTTAAAAATAGTCTTTTATCTTTGATCGCTTTTTGGTGCACACATATAGCCCCTACTTGTGTAGAAGATTGGGCGTCTTTTGTAGAGAATCATGTTTTGATGTAAATTCTCTACTTTTTGGTATACTTCTTGTATGCGGAAGTTTTTTCTCCCTTTTGATTAATACAATTTACCTTATCCAAAAAAAAAATCATCTTCCTTATTTTTTGTGCACGAGTCCAAGGATTATCATACACTCTTTCTTAGTTATTCATCTAATTTAGGAGACGTACTCCAATAAAAGAGGGTTCTTAAATTCCTAAAATTCTATTTACTAGGTCAGAGTTGATTGTCGTTTCTTTTGAGCTTCTAGATGGTATATGCAAAGTAATTGATTGTTTTGATAAAAAGTGCTTTTTGATAGAATTGAATCTTAGACCCCACACTACCGGAAGGCTTGGAGTACCTAAGAGGGCTTTTTTGGTTCTATTTTGTTGAGAAAAATGGTCATTTAATTAAAATTTATTTCTTTTTCTTTTAAATGATTGGACGAGCTTATGAGATCAGTATGTTGACATAGCAATTTAAGAGACTTGAAATAGTTGCAATATATCCATGGAGTTGTCAATTATATATATTCTAATAGATACTGACAAGTGAGGCTTGCTCAATTGGTAAAAACAACTCCACCCACGACCGTTAGGTCCTGAGTTCGAGTCACGCCGGAGGGGAAGTGTGGAAACACTATAGATCCTCCCAAATTGGGAGGGTTTTTTTTTAAAAAAGAAAGATACTGAATATGGTGCATCCTAGAGGTATTGATTTTATCTCCTCTAACTAAAACCAATGATTGTATGGATACATGTAGCTTAGATGGTTCCATTAAAATGTAAGTTGGTTCTCAGTCTCTCTTTGCATCTATGCTTGCTAAAGTACACTTTTGTGCTTGATTATTTTACTTTCTATTTGATAACATCTCATTTTCTTAAAAATTCTTCTGTTTGTTGTTTGTTATGCATCCCTATGACCCTATATGCATTATCTCTTACGGAAAGATTGAAACTAAAATATATTTTTTGGTCAGGTGACATCTTGGGATGTTGATTGAGTATTGCAGTAGAAAGGAAGAAGGTCGATTAGTCTTGGAAACATGCATTACAGTTAGCTAGAGGATTAATCCATGTTATATAAACATGTTTGTTCTTAAGTTTTTGAATTTTAAAGTAAGATAGAGTATTAAGTTTTCGGAAAAATGGTGCATCTGGCACATGAAGTGATTTTGCAAGTTGTCTTCAAGAAAAATTCTATTGAATTTACTTTTTGGTTACTGAAATACTACTTTATGGCATCCAATTACTTTTAGTTGAAAGCTATAATTAACTTGAGAAATAAGCTGTTAATGACACGCTACATGAAAAAAAGAATTATATAACCAGTCTAATGTCTGGTTTGTTGATTCTGAGAAGCAACTAAATTTCTTTACTTAGCTTAGCTCCATACTTTTTAAGTAGTCAAATATCATTAGAGGATTTTGACCAAGTGCACAGTCAAAATCTGTATTGCACTTCTCTAAGCCATAATTATATGAAACTTATGCATAAATTCTTCCTATATTTCATAGGTTATGATGTGTTGTTGAAACCTTAGTTGTGAATATATTTCTTAGTTTCATTAAGGATAGTAAAGACAAAGTTGTCTAAGAGGAAATGGTAGTGATCCATGTGTGTTGGAAAATTATGGTGAAGTTTATAATTGGGCCTTTTAAATGCTGATGCTGCTATATGACTGCGCACATTACTTAAGACGGGTTCCAGAAAGGCATATAGGAAGGTATGAAGAAATCCAACAACATACCCAATATTATCCCACACCGTGGGGTCTGGGGAGGGTAGTGTGTACGCAGATCTTAACCCTACCTTGTGAGGATAGAGAGACTGTTTCCAATAGACCCTCGGCTCAGGAAAGCATAAGCACCACATTAATGAAAATAAAGACAAGAAGGGACAGTACCAAAAAGCTATATAAAAGCAGAATAAAACAACGAGACAGTAAGGTAATCAACAATGAAAGAAAACAATGGTTAGTCATAAAAACCTACTACCAACAGAAAGCGAGACTGCGTGTCAATACTACTGTTATGAACACTCTAGACTACCTACTCTACTGCTCTAATCCTCGACCTCCATACCTTCCTATCAAGGGTCATGTCCTCAGTCAGCTGAAGCTGCGCCATGTCTTGCCTAATCAACTCTCCCCACCTCTTCTTTGGCCTATCTCTACCTCTCTGTAGGCCCTCCAATGTCAACCTCTCACACCTCCTCACCGGAATCCGAAATAAAGAAATCGAATATGAAAGATGAGAATGAGTATCTGCTTCAAAGTTGCTTCATATATCACTAAACTGATGAATCTATCTCTCTTGCAAAAAGTTATTACGAAGTATGATTGAGATTGAAAAAACAATGAGAGTTAGCTAGATTATGTGAATTTGGTCCTTTGCAAGATTGTGCCAACAATGTAGAATATATGGATGGCTATCCAGAAGAGCAAGTAGTGCAAGTCTCTCGAGCCATATGCACATATCAGTGCTAGGTTGGTGATGCTGCTTGGAGGCATTTAGAATTTATCTTAGCCAATATGGTAGCTACTAAATAAAATTTCTTATCATCTCATCCAATGATGATAGAAACTTTCTACATCTCAATGATAATCGAGTTAACTATGTGGCTTTGCAGAGTGCGAAAGGAAGGCAAAAAGTTGCTTTGGTGGCCAGGATGGTAGCAACAGTAGAAATGACAGGAGATCAAGTAGTGTCTTTAATGTGAGGTTAATGATAAAGAAAATCGGCAAGCAAAAGCAATCTGGTTCTGTATGCTTGTGGAGTGATGAGTTCCATTAAAGTTTCATGACATGTCTTTTAAGCATTGTAGTTTTTTTGCTTTTGAATTAGTAACATGTTATGTCTTTTTATGGCATTTAGCTTTTTTGAATTTGAAGTTGTAATTTCAAGAAATATAGTAAACTGTTATGCCTAAGAATATTTTTTATGTACTGTATACAGCCAAATATTACATATTCTGTGTTTCCATACAATTTTACATTCAGCAATTGAGTTCCTGTACTGTAACTATTATAATTAATTTTCTGCTATAATCAATTTTATGTGAAATTTAAATATGCTATCACTGCAGGAGCCATTCCCCGCGTTGGGCCCGTGGTAACACGGGCAATCATAATCTAGTATCCAAAATAATAACAAACTAACGAGGCATGCCAGTCCTGTTACCTGTGGTAATAGATGTCCTTTAAACATCCACATTAATTTTGATTTGTGAAGCAGCACAGCTAGAAAAGAGAATTAAGTATTTCACAAGAGACATTATGAATCACTTCAGAAAGAGTGCGAGCTGAAATACAATTGAAAAATGACACCTCTACTGAGGGAAGATAAAACCATTTAGAAGGAAGCTCTTGGAAACAGTTTCCAGGCTAAGAAAGTATGTGTAAGACAGTCTAACATGCAATAGTCTCGGGAATTCCTTAGGCAATGATGCAGAGAACTAACATAATAAAGTTAGATCATCATTACTGCCAATTAAAAAAATGACTCCACCATGACATCAGTAATAGAACTTTTCTACTGTAGCCAAAAGTAAGAAGTTTTTTGCTGTCAAACCATTCTGCAACTGTATGCATGAAAACTTCCCTCCGAACAAAATCAGGAAAAAGGGAAATCGAAAAGAAACAGAAATTACCTGTTGTAAGTAGAGGACAGATTCACATTTCTCCTCGTATGTTGTTCTAGTTGTTGTGCATATAGAGATGTGAAAATTGGATGGCTACGGAAAGCGAGCATCACTGAAATCTAATCTCAGATGAGCAGACATACTGTACATATGTACAGTAAGCTAAGAGATCAAATATAAATGAGACTATATTATTTAGCCAAACCCAGAAATCAAACGCCTATATGCTTTTTTGTCGGGTTTAAGCCCCAATTTCAACATCTCATCATGCAATCTCATTGCTTTCCTAAATTCCTTTTCCTGACATAGCCCTCTAATCATGATTGAAAAACTTTCACTGCTTAACATGTCATGAGCTCCCATGTAATCAAATATCCTTATAGCTTCTTCGTGCCGTCTTGATTTAAACAGCCTGTCAAGTAGTATACCGTAGGTCTCGATATCTAAAGCAACACCAAGTCTCTCTAGTTCAGTATGTAAAGAAATGGCAGAATCAATCCTTCTGCTAAAGCAATAGTGCCGCACCAAAGAGCGACAACAAAAAGATTCAAGCTGAAGTCCTCTCTGAAGAATAACATTCAGAAGCTCCTCAGCTTCTTTCCACTTACGCATTTCACACTGAGAAACAATAAATTTAGACACATGAGAAATGGGAGGAGTGAATCCTCTTCCTATTAAATCTTTCAACAAACTGCTAACTTCGTCTGATGGATTTTCATTGCATAGGACACTCATTAAGGCACTATAGCATTTGTCACTGACGAAAATTTTCCTCTCAAGTATAATGTTGTACATCGAAATAGCATCGTCAACTCTACCTTCCTTGGAAAGTGCCCCTAGCATAGAGCCATAAGTGTTATCTGGCAGCTCAATCTTTTTTTCAGAAGCTTCCCCGAAAAATAATTCAGCTGCATATGTCCTTCCCAAATCAGAGAGCTTCTGAATTACATAATTGTAATCGGCCGACAAAACTTTTGGAATATGTCCTTTCTCCACCATGGTACTCATCACTGAGTCCATCACTTCGGCACTTTGATATTTGCAAGCACCATCAAGAATTGAGCTAAAAGTACTAAAGGTAGGATGAATACATTTCCTATACATATCATTTAAATATCCAAATGCAGCTTCAAAATTCCCTCTTTTGGAGTAACAGTCTATAAGTATATTATACATAACAGGACTACATAAACCCTTGTCAATAATAGGAATAATTTTCTCAAATTTCCCATCTTTACAAAGCATCTGAGCAATTAGGGAACAAGTAAGCACATTCTCCTGAACCCCATTCCTAATTATAGAACCATAATAACACCAAGCCAGTCTTGACTCATTCTTTCTATACAGCAAACTAAGCAATGTATTGCAACTATCAATAGATATAAAATAACCATATTCTCTAGCTTTTCTATAAACCTGAAGAGCTTCAAAGAACAAACCTTTATTGCAATAACAATCAAGAACTGAGCTCAAGACTGAAACCTGAATGTGAAAATCAGCAGCTTTGAATGACTGAATCAAGAAATCAACAATTTGGGTTGGTGGGTATGTTTGAATGAGAGAATCCATTATGGGTTTTGCGGGTTTGAATAGTCCGGACCCGAGAAGCACATGTACAAGTGTACAAAGAACTTTGGCATCAGGTTGGAACCCAAGATTGTTCTTTGCATAATGGAAGAAATGTAGAGAGACTTGTGGGTTGGTATTTTGGGTTTTGTGGAGGATTTGAAGGAAGAGCGATGGAGTTAATTGTGAGGAAGAAAGTTTGAGGTTCTTGAGAAGTGAAGGCCACTGGATTTTTTGTCTTTGTAAGAGAATAGAGGAAATTTGGGTAACTAATTGGGTTTGTTTGAATTGGTTTCTCCAATTTTTGGACTTTGGTGTTGTCGTTACAGTGATTGCTGTTGTGAGTGATTTATTGAAGAGAAAGAGAGCTCTAGAGGCAATGGTCATTTGAGTTATGGGTGCAAAGGGAATTGGTTCAACTGGGAAGGGAATTGCAGAGTCTGAATTTTCTAAGGGTAAATTGGGGGCAAATTTGTAATAGGTGGCTATTTTTGTAAAAGCTCACCAAGGAGCCCAATTTCTATGAACATTCTAAACATTTTTAAATTCCTATACACTATTTGAAACTCTATTATCTTCCCTACTCAAGTTTCAATTTAATTACATTCTATATACAAATTTACCAATTATATACACTTTAGGAACTAAATGAGTATCCTTTTATATTATGAATCAATTATTTCTCATCCTTATTCTCTCTCCCTCATACGCTCTCTCTCCGTCTCTCTCTCTCATGCGTTCTCTCTCTACGTCTCTCTCTATCTCCCAGTCCCTAATTCCAGTAATGTAGAGCAAAGGGAAAGAGAGCATCAATTCCATACTTATTGAAATTCCAGTAATGTAGAGTTGAAGGTGTTGCACAATTGGTGTTCAAATTTCAGTAATATTGCACAATTGGTGTTCAAATTGAAATTGTCAATCAATAAATTTTAAAGATGTTTGACTCTCACTATTGACAGTCATTAAAAAGGTTTGAAGCTTTGAATTTGAATTTGGGTTTTCAAAAACCATTTTTTGTTTGGAGTGGGTGTTGTTGCAATCAATTGGGAATATTGTTTGGAGTTTTATATCTCAATTTTGAGGGTATTTTGGTGAAGATTAGACTTTTTATATTGAAACTCGAAGAAGAAGAAGAAGAAGAAGAGAAGAAGAAGAAGAAGAAGAAGAAGAAGAAGAAGAAGAAGAAGAAGAAGAAGAAGAAGAAGAAGACATGACATACATTATACTTACGAATTTGTAGTAAAATTGTAGATAAATTGTATTCTGTTGTTTATATTTTTTTATTTAAATATTGTATGAAAGTTGAACAATATTGTATAAAAATTGTGTTTAAGTTGTATGATATTGTAGTTGTATATAACTGGGTAGAAATAATGTATGAAAGTTGTAGATAAGTTATAGATAGGTTGTAGATATATAATTAGTTGTATGAAATTTATTTTTACTATGTATAAATCAGATACAAAATATACAAAAGATATATTGTATAAAATTTGTATAAAAATTGTATTTAAGTTGTATGATATTGTAGTTGTATATAACTGAGTAAAAATAATGTATGAAAATTATAAATAAGTTGTATAATATATAATTATTATGTATATATTATACTTTTATACTTTTATTTTTTCCATTAACTTCAACCAAATATTGTCCAAATTCTTAGTAATGTGTATTTCAGGTATTGGATGGGCATAAGGTGGTTCCATCGAGGGCCAAGAAGTTGGATTTTCCATTCAAATACCGATATATCAAAGACGCTCTGAAAGCAATAATGTCATGACTCATGAGACCATCCTATAACTAAATCTCTTGATTGAATGCACAAATAATGAATTGAGAGCCTTTTAAGGTGTATTGTATATATTTTGTAACTAAAATATATTTAGATCGGATAAATATCAAAACATAAATATTTTTCGTAATAAAATTTTAAATAGTACATAGGAATGATAAAAAACGAGATTCGCAATTCGAATTTTTCGTAAGGCCCAAAAAGAGGGTTCCCGACAGTTTTTAGCACGTGAGTCGCTAATGAATCCATGTGAGTGCACAAAAGCTATAAATCTACTTGCTTTAAATGGACTCATGTTACAATTATTTAATTATGCCTCATAAATTAGTAAACAGTGTAATCAGCTTAACGTCGCGGCTAATGAGCCTCTGACTTTCATTTCAAGAATCATGTTTGACATTTGTGATTCATTTCCTGTTGACTAGGAAATTTCAAATTGAAATTCAATCTCATCCTGACAGGAGGTTTCTGCTTTTATCACCGCAAATACTTTTCCTAATTAGCTGTGAACTTATATCTGGGAAGAAACAATAATGCATATAAAACTTCTAAAAGATCAAAAAGGAAAAGGCGAAACTAATGGATATGATATTACACAGGAAAATGATAGCGTTACATACTTAATGTGGTATGTCCACATATGATAAAAATTTTATCAGATGGAGCAACATCAATGCAAACCGCTATTATGTAAATTTGTTCAAATCTTGTAAATTGCAGGCTTAAAATTTTATACTACTGTTTTTTTTCCCCTTACATAACTTTCTAGTACTATGTTTTTTGCAAAATTATCTGTTTGTATATGGTCGAGAATATTCGGTACACACGGGCTAAGTATGACAAAAACGATTAAGAAATCGATACTGAACATCCAGTTTAAACCAAACATCCAATTGAGCAAAATATAGCAAATCAAACCTTAAGGGTTGCGCCCAGGCGGATCCACTGGAGACGAAATTTTCATAGTCTAGTGTTGAGGCACGACTGCACGAGCATAATATAGTATCAAACTTCACATCCGTAGCGGAGTCGGTAATATATAGGAGTGTTCATGGTTCGGTTTGGGTCGATTTTTCCCTAAAAAGAAACCAAATCAAGTAAGTCGATTTTTCAAATATTAGAACCAAACCAAACCAATTAAGTCGGTTTTTTATCGATTCGGTTTTTGTCGGTTTTTCGGTTTTTGGTCGGTTTTTTTCTTAAATATGAGACATACACTACCAAACGCATATTCCGGCGAGTACATTTTCAAAGTAACGCTATCAAATCAATTGCTCTTTGAGAAATCTATCATTTACCAAGATATATCGATGATAATTGACTCAAATAGTAATGAATAACTTAAGTACTCAATTAAAAATCGATTATTTTTAACATGAAATAAATTCTTGTACTTAATAAAAGAAAACTACCAATCAAACTAGAAGGCACAGAATTAGATTATTATAATAGCAAAGAACTAGACTAAAAATACAAATGACTAATATGTACCATAAAATTTTAGAAACTTTATATAAAAATATACATATATATAGGTGTAATAATAAATTTAAATAGCTACTTTTATAGTCGGTTTGGTTCGGTTTTTTTTTTATAAAATCCAAAACCAAACCAAATTTGATCGGTTTTTAAAATTTAAAACCAAAACCAAACCAAACCTAAAAATATCGGTTTTTTTGGTCGGTTTGGTTTGGTTTTCGGTTTGGTTCGATTTTTCGGATTTTTATGAACACCCCTAGTAATATATATAAGTTGTCAAAATTACTGGAATGTCATAGTTGAGACTTAAAAATTATAACTTAAAGTAACTTTTGACCCATCCTTACTATTACGTTAAAATCTTTTCCTATGCCAAGGGATGCAACAATTTATATATTATCAAAAAAAATTATTTTTACCCTATTTACGCAATACGAAAAAATAAAGAAAAACATAACTCACACAAAAACCATCGGTAGAGCTAGAAGAGTAAGGCCCAATGGCCCGTGGCTCTTACATCTTGAAAGAAATATAAAGTTTAATTAGTCTACAAACCTTCATCCTCTTTCCCAGCAAGCAGCACCCTGCACTCAGCTCTTCTTCCCGTGATAGAATTCACTCTTTAGCTAAACAATGTAAAGTTTAGTTTATAGTAATATGTAATCATTGAGATTCAGTACAATACAGTCAAATTAAGATACATTAATTTACGCGAATCAAACTTTATTACCCCCTTGAATTAAGGTTACTGACCCATTCTTCTGAAAATTGCTTTCTTCCAACTTTGTCGGTCTTTGGGGTTTGTGTAATATTGGAAACAATCCCTAAATGTGCCGATAAAAAATTGTAACTACACCTTTAGATTTTATTAGTAGTTATTTTTTATTTGAAGAAGCATATTTTATTTGTTTTTATATGTAAAACGGTACAGTTGAATTTATAGATAATTTATAGACAAGTGAATTAATTTGATCCAAAAATAACAGACAAATTAGACAGAAATAAAAGACTTAGTCTTAAAGTTGAAATAAACGACAGATATCTTGGTTTCAGACATCATTTAGCAAGTAGGAGAACCATTAAATTTCAGAAGCAGTGATAGCTAACGCTTTGTATTTAACTTATGCACTAGCGCGGGCAACAGGATCAAGTGCCTGTTCATCCATCTTCATTCCAAACAAAGGCGAACATCTCCATTGAGTGACTGTAACTGCTATGGTTTACAGTCAATAGTTCTTAAAGGATTCTCGTGCCAACCATAGAAAGAAGAACTCGGTTACTCATCTTGGATCAGATTGGATTAATAGCTTTGTGATGATCTAAGAACGAGCTTCCCTTAAATCAGTACTCCCCTGGTCGTCCCTTTATTCAATATCCGTCATGCTAAGAATAGGGGGTTTAGGAAGAATACAAGCTTTATTTCGGGGTTTTTAGGTGTCGAACTCTTTCCTCCTTCCCTACAGAATGGAATTTCGGGGCGTCTTGCTTAGATCACATTTGCTTTCCCTTACTCCTGAATAGTGAAAGATTGAGCCTCCTTCGGACCCTCACCTCGAACTATCTGATCAAGTTTTCTTTTTCCTATCACAGGCACAGAACTACCAGGAACAATAAGAACAGTGCAAATAAGCAGGAAAGTAAAATGTTATTTGAGCTCTTGATGAAGTATAATATATGCTTGTCAGAAAATTCGTGTCTTTACAATGATGATAGAGCTCACTATTTATAGTTACACCTAGGGAACAAGGTCCTAGGATTAAAGCTCCTCTTTAATGACAATTATGAGGGCCATTGAAGAATGTGTAACGGTGGACAATGAATGACATATTCTTTGTAACGGATCATGCACTTAATGCCATAGAATATTCTTCATTGAATGCTACCGGATGACGATATTTCTTTTGTCTTTATGAGTATCATTTTCTCCGATAACAAGCGTGATCATTGCCTCCGGATTTGGCTATCTTCTGTCTTATGTTCCACATGTCACTTTCTCATGCGATCATTAAATATGAATATATTTTACCCATATAATTTGCCAGCTTGTTTAAGTTTTTTTTCACCCAAGCTAATCTTACTCGGTTTATTAGAATAAGCAAGTGGGGATGATACATTTTTTTTTCTCGCTCATTTAACTGTAATAGTATATAATTAATTTAAG